ATATATATATATATATATATATATATATATATATATATATATATATACACTCTTACAATATTCTAAAAAATGTTTCTAAATGCTCTAAAAGAACACAGAATGTCATGATTTCAGCTCCCTGCCTCCGCTGCTCTTTGCCACCTGCAAGCGCTCTTGGCCACGCCCACTTCTCTGCTTTGCATGGTGAACAGCTGATCAACTGCAGCAGGAAGTTTATCCTGCAGTATGGGCTGCACAAAGGTGCAGCAGGTGCTAAATAATTTAAAATAATTTATTTTAAATAAAAATTCCATGCTGATCGTGCGGCTCATCCATCAGTCAGTTGTGTGTCATGTCCACTCTTATTTTGAAAAACCGCGATAGAGCGAGCCCGCGATAAATTAACCGTGAAGTAGCGAGGGACTACTGTACATTGAGATCTTCTCATTTTCTTCAAAAAGGTTGTTCTCTTTGAAATCTGCTTTATATTAACATATTTGGTCTACTTTTGTTTTCTTAGGCTCCTATTGCTTTTTTAGCTAACGTTCGGCTACTTTTTAGTTTTTAGCTAGTGTTTTAGCCTGTTTTAGCTTTAGGAACTCAGTTTTAGCTTATTCAGCAACGTAGTTCAGCATTCATCATTTACACTGAGTTTTCTGTGACAACGCTAATTTTTGTCGTGTTTTTAATTGCATTTGGAATTATCACCTTCAGACCAGTGGCCATGTGTTAAAAGATTCCTTTAGCTGCTATTTAATCAAATGAGGCACACCGACAGGGGTGCAAACAAATGAAATAGTATCAAATAAAAAGAAACAGTCAGAGCTCATTTGCTGCTCAGGGGGGTTTAGTGTTTCACAGAAGGCCTGGCCCAGGTTAGGCATTCATCACTGTGGCAAATCAGACAGTGTCCTGATTTTAAATGGCCCTTAATGTCAAGTTCAAGCAGGGCCTTTAGCCTGAGTGTTGTTTTACGACCGCAGCCCCACTCAAAACAGCGCATGTCTATTGGACATGGAGAGGCACGGTCTAAACTAAACTAGACCAAACTAAAGGCAAAATTTTAGACATTTTATAAAGGATTTGCTGCAAAATATTATTCAAGATTATCTTCTGAAGTATTTCTGTAAATGTCATTAAGCTTGAAAAATTAACATCAAATAAGACTTCACATTAATAATTTAGAGTAAAAATGTTTTTCGCTCATTTGGAAAATACATTTAAATGATGCATATTTCCACATTTATATTAAGCTAATTGTCTCATTTTAAAGAAAGCCCTGTTTGAAGCTTTTACTTTTCACTGCTGCACTCTTTAGGTCTTACCATTTCCCTGCTGAAGCAGTCTTTGGTTAGCCTTCCTGAGGGGCTATAGTGGGGGAGGGGACAGGGGGGGTTTAATCACAAAGAAAGGAGAGCTGGAGGTCTGATGATATGTTGGGACTAAAAATTATTAGAGATCAAAGAAATCACCTGTTGGTATAAATAACTAGAATACAGCAGGAACACGGCGCTGATTTATCCTCAGGGAAATAAAATCGCAGCAAGTTTTTCTGAGTGTGATTCTGAGTTTTTAATCCTGAAGACGATCATTTTCAGGATTAATGAAAATTATTTTGTTAGTGTGAACGGCTGGTCTTTCAGGATCAATGTGCAACAGGAAACAAAGTGTGTGTTTCTCTGCTGTGAAGTCTGTATCTTTTTTAACTCCTTTGTGTTTGTTCTTTATCATCATCTTCAGTGGTGTGAGGGTCTGTGGGCGTAGGGGGTGTTACTGCTTGAAAACTGTCAAATGTTTACAGATTGTTGTGGAGTTCTGTCTGATCTTGTACTATCACTTTTTAATTTGCTTCTATTAGGACTCTTGCTTACTGCCCACAAACGCATATATTTTTAAATTAAAATTTTATATAACAAAGGGCACACCTTTTATAATAGTTTCAATTAACTCACTTTAAACTTGGCAGTGGTGATAATAAAAATTTTACAAAGGGTTTTTAAAGTTTCCATGGGAGGAAATCTAAATTAAAAAACATTAAAGAGTCAGTAAAATACAAATGAAAACTCAAATACAAAGAAAAACAAGTTGACAAGTAAGGGTTTTGAATTTATTACAATTAAACATAAAATTGTGTAGAACGTAACCTTAGAAATACAGTAGTCCCTCGTCTATCGTGGGGGATTTGTACCCTGAAGCCCCGCGATAAAAGTGAAAAATCGCGAAGTAGGAATAGTACAGTATGTAGTAGTTTATTTTAGTGTGTATATATATATATATATATA